ATTGGCGGTCAGTGGGAGAGATCCCCCTTACATTGGCGGTCAGTGGGAGAGATCCCCCTTACATTGGGGGTCAGTGGGAAGAATGCTCCTTACATTGGCGGTCAGTGGGAGAGATCCCCCCTTACATTGGTGGTCAGTGGGAGAGATCCTCCCTTACATTGGCGGTCAGTGGGAGAGATCCCCCCTTACATTGGTGGTCAGTGGGTGAGATCCCCCCTTACATTGGCGGTCAGTGGGAGAGATGCCCCCCTTACATTGGTGGTCAGTGGGAGAGATGCCCCCCTTACATTGGCGGTCAGTGGGAGAGATCCCCCTTACATTGGGGGTCAGTAGGAAGAATGCTCCTTACATTGGCGGTCAGTGGGTGAGATGCCCCCCTTACATTGGTGGTCAGTGGGAGAGATCCCCCCCTTACATTGGCGGTCAGTGGGAGAGATCCCCCCCTTACATTGGCGGTCAGTGGGAGAGACCCCCCCCCTTACATTGGCGGTCAGTGGGAGAGATCCCCCTTACATTGGCGGTCAGTGGGAGAGATCCCCCTTACATTGGGGGTCAGTGGGTGAGATCCCCCCTTACATTGGCGGTCAGTGGGAGAGATGCCCCTTACATTGGCGGTCAGTGGGTGAGACGCCCCCCTTACATTGGCGGTCAGTGGGTGAGATGCCCCCCTTACATTGGCGGTCAGTGGGAGAGACCCCCCCTTACATTGGCGGTCAGTGGGAGAGATCCCCCCCTTACATTGGCGGTCAGTGGGAGAGATCCCCCCCCCCTTACATGGGTGTGCAGTACACCTGAACAGTGCCGGCGTATGGTCAGTGACAGGTACACTTTGCTCAGACATCACACAAGGAGACGCAGGCGCAGCTTCACGCCGAGTACAAGGACGCCATCTTGTCCGGCCACACTCACCTATGGTGTCCGCCTTGCTGAAGTGGCGGCTGACCGCGTTGTCTGCGTCGCTGTTCTCGCACAGCTTGAGCTCGATCAGATAAACCTCCACCTTACAATGCTTCACAAACATGCCGTGCTCCACCACCTGCAAGAGACG